CATGCTGCTCAGCTCCCTTATCTGCGTGACAGTTTTTCAGTAGTATTTTGTTATTGGTTTTGAAGAGTAAGAAATCAGTAGCAATTTCGGTTCATTGTGTAAAAGAAAAATCTAACAGAAAACTTAAACCACAAGGAACAAAGCAAAACTTAGTACTAGTAAAAAGAGCTATCAAGTGAGTAAAACACAACAAAAGGACAGATAAAATACCTGAAATTTCTCATTTTAGTGGGAGTAAATATTGTTTGTGACTACTGATTAAAAAAAGTTCAATCAGAAGCAAAAATTTTAAATGAGAAAAAAACTTTGTTCAAAAAAGACTCTTCACTGTATCTTAGCTAGCCCTCCTCAAAACTTTTCATATAATGGATCTCTTCAGAATAAGACATATCACAGACCATTTTCTCTACCAAATACCAAGCAATAAGGCAAATTTAAACCAAGGGACACAATACAGCTATGAATTTGCTGCAAGTATCTTTTAATTTTCTTCCTGTATCTTGTAAATGTAATTTTAAAAAATGTTTCCGTATACCAGTGATCGTATCTTCACTGGTCAAAAAAGCCATGTTCAAAGACTAAATGGCTGGCTTCAGTACCTTCTCTCTGTTTAAAAAAAAACCACAAACAAACCTCCCCCCCCAAAACAACCAACCAACAAAACCCCAACTAAAACTCAACATCAACCCCTCCCCGCCAACACAAATACCCTTGACAAAACCAGGACAAGTCATTTATCTTGTTAATCTAGGTGGGCTTTAGATAACACACGAGGAATGGGAAACGAGAAATTCAAGAGACAGCAGTGTTTGGGATTCACTAAGAAACTAAAATAACTATTGCCCATGATTTCTACCAAGACTTGAACACAAGTATATCTTGTTATTTAAAGACATATCACAGGGAAGAGAAAAACAAACCAAAATGTAAGTCCTCAGTAAAATTCCATCTTCACTAACAGCATGGAAGTTCAAGAGTACAGAATTCAAGACTGTACTTGTTTTTAATGATGTCTTCCTTCCTTACTTTCTAGAAGATGTCACAAATCTGACAGTAACACAGCTTTGTATCGGTGTACATGCAAAGTGACTGAAAAAAAATATTCTACTGAAAAATAGTAATAGTGTCTTACGAAATTACTACTGTCCTGGAACATTGGAATCTTCCCAACTAAGCTGATGAAAGGTGTCAAACACCAATTAAGACGAACTTTTAAAAAAACAGAATCATAAGAAACTAAAATAATATTTCAAACCCAGTAACTATTCAATACTATAAGTGCTTATATTTTATGCAGTAAGAGCAAAGATGAAAGAAAAAAAAAGAAGACACAAAACCAAGTGATTCAGCAAACAGTGACAGACTGGCCATATGTCTTTGCAGATTCTTCACTGAGTAGGGGAATTTCCAGAATGTCACTCAAAAGTTGATAAGAAGTAAGTCCGGGGCAACAGAACAGAGAGTATGAGAGGTACTTCATAAAATATAAGGGACAAAAGAATGGAGACAATTAACAGAAAGCACATTCCAGGTATGCAGGACTACCAAGAAAGCAGCACAGAGATAACAGAAAGGTAAGTTGGAAAGCACAACTGAGCAAAGTAGCAAGGAAGCAGCGCTGTATCTGGTTCTCAGACAGGAATCTCCACGCAGTGCTAGAAACAAGCAGCAGATACGGAATGAGTGAGCACATAGAGAGGAACCTATCACATAAACAGCTGTGTAGTATGCTGATCTTACTAGCAAATACCCTATTAGCGGCAGACAAATAAGAAATCTTCCAAGTCTTAGCACAAGAAAGTAGTCTGCACAACATCCAAGAATAATGCCATCAGTACCTCAACATTATTTGCCTCTATTTCTTTCCATCATATACTGGAAGGCAAGAAATCTGTTACTTAACATCTAGCGAATTTTATGATTTATACAAAAGTTGACTTGCCATCTACTTTAGGTGAGACACTGTTCACAACCGGATGCTAATTGCAGGAAAATTGAAGGAGAGCTACTGGGGATGGAGAGAAAGTCAAGTTACTCAATCTCTTAACTAAGACAGGTAGGCATCTAAGGTGTTCACACATAAATGATGATGAGCCTAAGTAACTGGACAGATGGTTGGTGTTTTCAAATTCCTAGGATGTATCAATAGCTCTTGTTTATATACAGTAAATATGGAAGTTGTAATTTTTGCTTCAAATACCTTCAACTTGGACATTTTTAGAATTATAATAAAACACACCCTCATTCAAACAAGAAGAGTCTTTTACAGTACTTGCCACAAAAGATGGAGCTGAGCAATTGCTTAATCTTTCCAGGAGGTATTTCAGTGCTAACGCTTCCATACATAACACTTTGAGTGTTAGTGTCACCACAGCATACTACAGTATCATGGCAGAGAGATAAAAACTGGCAAGAATACAATGTTCACTCAGTACCAAAAATCCTGAACAAAGATATCAATACAACATTGGCACTGTATCCAGGTTACATGGACAAAAATGTCAAGAAGGAAGAGGAGGTTGGGCTGGATGCAGGATGTTGGACTAGATGACCTCCACCAGTCCCTTCCAACCTATTTGATTCTGTAATTAAGAAAAGCTCAGAGATCCAGTTAAAAGTTATGGAATACTTCTCAGGTTTTTTAATCCATAAAAAAGAGATACTTCATTAGAGGTGAGCTTCAAGAATGCTGGTGTCATATAATTTCTTTACAAATGGAAGACCTTGGCAATCCCTCTCTAAAATAGACTTAGTCTTCCCAGAATTAAGAGCACTGAATATATCAAGATTTTCAGTATTTCTTAAAAGAACATCTAAAATTTAGCAAGAGAAGCTATTATTCTTCCCCCAAGCACAGCTTTATCATCATGAAAGCAGATAATCCCTCTAAATTTCATTAATTTTATTCACAAAGGAAAGAAAGGATCTGTCAAAAAGAAAAAGTTGACCAAAGAAATGTTCATTCTTCCTATAGATTTTTCACAGATTCAGAAGCTTGGCTATGACCTGACAGGATGTACAGATTTGGACTTCAATAATAGCATCATTGGAGAAGGCAGATAACATTTGCCTCTACAGTACAAGGCCTCAAGAAGCACTTAGAGAACAATTTCCATAAGCAGTTCTCTAAGCACCTTCTTCCATATGTGGCTGCTCACTACATTATTGAAGTGACACATGAAAACACAAAAAATACATTTAGATCATACAACATGAATAATCTAGTATTATAGAACTTTTAAGTTTACACGATTGCCTACTTTTCTATCCACCAGATCACTCAAACGCAGCTTGAGTCATTAGCAAATGCAGACTAATAAAACTGATCTCAGGCAGGTGAGTATACAAGTGAGCCTGGTATGAAGCCACTTTACATGTAACTGGAATCCTGATTTTTGCATAAAACCTTTCATCAGTTCCCATCCCAAACAAAGCAGAGTGACCACTACATATGCGTTTAATTAACTATCAATAAGGTCCCTTTGAGTTTTTGCAGCTTTTTAGTGTTTTAAGCCACAATTTCAAGAGGTTCCAAAAATCTGATCTTATTAAGTATGAAACTGATCCCCAAGTTCTCCACACGCTGCATACTTCTGAGTTGGCAACAGGAAGAAGTTACTGTGGAAGAGTGAACAATTGGATGACAGGACTTCAGCCATACAAGAAAACATAGAATACACTTTTGGCATTCAGTAAGAAAAACACGCCTTCTGAATGACCTAATGGTGGCAGAAGATAAGGTGTTTCTAACTGGTGTGGAGGAATGTGCTGCTCTGTTTATTCCCTTGTATAACAGCAATTCTTAAGGAGTTTTTTTCTCCTCCATAATAGGATCTACTATTGATCAACGAGATCATTATATGGTTAATGCTCTGTAAATGAATCAGATGGTTACATCTCAATTAGAATGCTTCAGTTCTAGAGCTGCACTGATACTGCCAAACAAAAAAGTATTTTTTCCAGGGTGTCAGTATTATTTCTAAGGTCTAAGGTCCTTATTTTGAAGATGATCTTCTCAGGAGAACTAGTAACGTACAAATTTTGTGGTACTCTTCAGAATGCAATAGGACACCAGTACTCATGGCTTCCAAACACAGGATGCTTTCTTTTATTGTTTTTCTTGCCTAGTGCGTAGAGTGTTTTTTCTTAGAAAAACAAAGTACAATACAAGCCAATATAAACATTGTCCTAAGAACTGGTAGATTAAGAATACTGTTAGCAATAGCAAGCAAGAAGCTCTCCATATATCCATAAATCCACCCTTTCAGATATTCATTCCATATTCAACTTCTTAAGAGCCTAAAAGAAGTCTGCATTAAACTGTTTATTATGATTCACATTTTGACCAATTTTCTTTTAGTATGACCTTGGGAGGCTTTTCAGAATTGTTTTTTCCTATACAGAAAATGTATCTGTGCAGGAGCCTGTTAAATGTCAAAATGGAATAATTACATATTATTTCCCCATAGCAATTATTTTGTTATTCTAGTCTATTAAATAATTCTGTTACACTGTACATGCTTAAAAATCATAAATATTTCAAGTGACTTTTTATTAACTGATTACAGATATCCTTCTTTAAGATCATACCTGTTTAAACAAACTGATAAGAACATTCATATGAACAGTACTTAAAAGTCACAAACTACTACCTTAGATATAATAGGAGGTTTGCTTTAAATACACATCTTGATGACATCAGGACTGGAACAGCAGTATCCTCAAGAATGCTAAACAAGAAGGTTGTTTTCAATGCAGAAAAATGTGCAATGAATTCCTTATTTGCTTTTAAATACTGATATAAAGTTGTGGTAATGCAGCACTCGTAAAAACAACGTTAGGGTCGTGACCAGAGAAGTGGTTCAAAAATGTGTATGGCAGAGCTTGTTTTGTTTGTTTTTCTTTTTCAGAATGCCTTCATGTAGCAAAAAGTTCCCCTGCTAGCCTAATTTAATGCTTTCATTTTTCTAATTATGCTGAAACATCAGTTAAGAGCCTACCTGATGTTTTGGAGAATTTGCTGTGCTGGGATTGATATTCCGCAATGCCTAAGAGTAAAAATAAGATGGATAAAAATTACTTTAGCTGCATGGTTTGCCTATGCAGGCTGTCTTATAAACACCATCTTGTAGTATCAAGCCCCCAAGACAGGCCAGATGAGACAGGATAAGGGAGTTAAGAAACTATGAAAATCACGACACAGTGAAACAAAACTGACAGATTTACCAAGGATGCGTACTTGACAGGTAAGCTTAACAACCAGGGAGAACAAGGTGAAGGGAACTGGCTGTCACCTGGTCCAAAGTTAGTCAGGTTCTTAATGACAACTGAGGAAGAAGACAATTAGAAGCCCTACCTAGAAGCATGGTAGCACAGGGTAAAATGTTTGTTGGTGGATTAATTGCAAAGCAGGAACAGCAGAAGCCCAGGTGCTTAAGCGGAGAGAAAGTCCTGATGTCACCTTTGCAATGTATTCTTACCTAGAGTGCTATAAAAAGTAACGGCTGTAAAGATGACCCATCTTACACCAAGAGATGCTGAAGATTCCTACAAAACAGGCCTTGACTACAAAGGGGATAATGGGAGTCAGATTCCAGGACAGAATACTGCAGGTGATGAAGAAAGAGAAAAGCTGTCTTTGAGGACATTAAGATATTATCCTCTCCTCATACAAGGCCCATCACCCAAAGTGAAAAGGTAACAGGGTAAGATTTTAGAAGGTCTTCCTCAAAGAAAAGATTAGTGCTTTCTCTGGCAGTGTCAAAAAACCAAAGAATATCCTAAGTACGTAGCACAGATGATAGTAACTCTTAAAACATTCAGATGGAAAAATCGAAGCAGAAGGCTTAGAGTCAAAAGGAAGTCAAGCCCAAATTCAAAATCCAGAGATTCCAATGTCCAGTCCTACACTTTAACATTTGCTACAGCTATATTCATATAGTAGAAAAATACTGAAAGGAATAGTTTGCAGCCTAGTTATGAAGTTTGAAATTCTTCAGTATATGAAAACCACAGATTCAAAATGCAGCACGAGTGATTCAGTTGTTCCATGCTCCACTCCACCGTTTAACAGATAAGATTTTAGCAACAAGGTGTCTCCTCAATATAACTTCTACAAACTTTAAAAGTACTTTGAAATCCTACAGACTGTAACAGGTTCTAAAAGTGAAAGACCTTCCTCCACTTAAAAGTGAGAACTAAAGCAGCTGTGGGAACCAACTTCTTGCCTTTTTGCATGACTCAGAACTCAATGAATATGAAATACATTCTCAAGAGAAATATCCAATCAGATCAACAGTCCATGATGTCACCCTAATAGTGAAGAAGCCTGTTCTCAGAGAGTTTTGTTAGAGAGAAGAATGAGAGAGGAAAGTAAAATCCTTCAGTCTGGTAAGTCAGATGCTTTCACTACCAAGCTGATACCAGTAGCAGAATGAATGCAGACCTTTTTAGATCTCAAAGATTTTTGTACAGTCACTGGTCTTTAAGACTCACTGAAACAACAATTTACCCAAAACAAAACATAACATACAAAAGAAATAGTGGAAGTAGGTGTCTAACCTGTGGCCTCACCTGCCGAAGCAGTTCTTGATGCTTCAGTCTCAGCCTTTCCTTCTCCATCTGTAGCTGCTGAAGTCTCATCTGTTGTTGCTGATTGGAGCTACTTCCACCCATCACACTGCCTTGGGGACTCTGAGGAGCCAGAGGGGGTGGCTGCTTCACTGGAGCACTTTGGCTGATTCGCTGATTCATGGCTAAGGAACCAAAACAATAAACATTGAAAAATGAAATTCAAACAAATACATGCAAGGCAAGTATTATCCTTAGAAGGCATATATTAAAAACTTTATAAAATTACAAGCCATGACAGTACAAAACATGCAGCTACACTGATGTTCAGACTGTGAAATGTATGCACACATGTTATTCCTGTGAAATCAATGCAATGGTCTCATGTTTAAGAGTACATACTTGTTCTAAAAGGTTCTGAAAACAGTTAAATGTGTAAGTTGGTGAAAAATTCAGAAGTGGTAGTAAAATATTTCAAGTTTAATTAGAAGGATCTCTCTTCTTCCTAATAAACTATTCTCAATTTAGACACAAATAACACAAAAACACTCTTCTTATTCATGTGAAATCTTAGAGTCATTAAACTTGAGAACACATAGAATGACAAAACAGATCATCTCACTTACTTCAAACTACATTTGGTTAAAGGTTACCATTCTTCCCAATGTGGTACAGGTCATGCTACTATCATTCACACCCTTGTCACATCAAGTTTTGAGTGTTACAGACTCCATTTAGGGCATCTTGACATGCAAAATTAGAGCTCGTACAGAAATGGCAGATGAATTACACAGCCAAAAATACTGCCATCAACATAGGAAACATTTTGCTAGTGCTTCATTTTCTTTTACCCCACAGAAGTACGTGATTTATCTTTTCTGGGGTGTGGAGAAGGAAAAGTGTTGTTTTGTATGCCTAATGCACAATGAGAACCCATCTGCCCTTCCCCATAAAAGAAAGACCTAAGACAATTTTATTTTATAAAATAATGCATGACTGGGATGCATCTACTTGACAGGCCTGATTTTTCCCCCACACAAGGCCAATATGGTTAGTCAACAGAGGCACTGGAGTTCCCATAGTGAAACAGAGGGCTGGGAAAGGCTGAATGTATTACAAGGACACTATTTTCAGGGGCTTTCAGTTTCGGAATTAGTTCTCCATCTTGTTGTGTGGAACAGCCCGAGTCTGTTAATATTCACAATATGCTGCAGAATATATTTGCTGAAGCAGTGACAGGAGAGTGATAGGGATTTTTTAATTTTTTTTTTCTGGGAATGAGGATTATGGTTTATGGGAACTAAGAAAAAAAAGGGAGTGAGCTTCTTTTAGGATGACAGGCTGATTTGGTGCAAAGAAAACCATCTGTTGTATTAATCTGAATTAATGTTTTCATCATATATAGAGGATTCCTGGAACACTAACACTTCTAACTATCATAAGAAAGGAGAATTATCTCATAAAGAATCTGTATTATCTTTTCTCTGCAAAGCCCTTCAGTCTCCACTGTCTTTTCAGTTTTCAACTTAAGGTACAGTAGTGCTTTTCTTCTGTTACAAGAAAGCCTAAATTTATTTATCTCACAATAGCAGTAAAAATGGCTGTTGCTTCACAGCCTTCCTCCCTTTTCCCCTTGCCACAGCTCATCTTTCCATTGAGAGGTAACATATGAAGAAGAAATGCCATATGCTCACTGGAATGAGAACAGAAAAGAAAAAAAAAAGTAAAAAACAGTTACAGACTCAGCTCTCTAGTCTATCTACCCTTTCAACTATTCCATAGGTCCAGCACAGAGTCAATAGTCTAATGGACAGGTGGGTCACATTTTCATGAGACAAGTCAAAATAAAATGAAGTGTCAAATAGTTTGAAGTAATTTGAAATAATCTTTTATGCAGTTACTTGTGAGAGCACTTCATACACGTGATCACAAATAAAGTGAAACTTCCTGTAAAGGTAAGTGAATAGGTGAAATAGGAATAGAAACTGAATCCCAGTACCAAGTAGAAACAAGAGAGTGAATATAAAGGGCTAGAGGTTCAACTCCAAACTCCAAGTCCCATCCTGACGCAGCGGGGAAAAAAAAAATAGTGGGAAGATGACATTGCTGTGGATTAAAGCTTAAAATCAAGCAGGTGATCTTATGAGGCATCCAGCACCACTTCACCATCAAAACTAAACTTCAGGAAGAAGGTGACCAGGAGGAGCCAATCAACCAGCTTTGCGACATGAGCTGTGGTCCCTAGGCCAGCAAGAGGAAGAGACAGGACAGCTTGTTCCTCTGCTGAACAGACACAGAAGGTTCATATGCCCCAAGACACCAGAAACTGTTAAGCAAAAGTTTCAACAGCACCAACAGATGTCCTGCAAGGATGTGAGCAGTGAACTGTAATTACAAGCTCCAGGACCTCCACTGGGCAATCTCTGCTGAAGACTGACAGCAATTAGACTAACTACAGTTACCAAATTAGGGCAAAGTTGAAGCTAGAGGGAGCAATGCAAAAAGAAAGGCAGCCCACCTAGCAGCTCTAGACAAGCTAGACATGGCACTGCTGGAGTGGGGAATATACCTCCTCCTTTATCTCTTTTTACCCAGAATCCTATCAAGTCTGGAACCAGGACCATGCCTTTTGCTTTTTATATCTTACCCTCTTCACCTTAAAAGCAGACAATGAAGGGGTTAGTAGGGGACAACAGAAAACAGTCTTCTCTTGCTGTTAGCTAATTCTGCAACTCAAGCAGAAGTCTGTGCTACCCTTCAGAAGTTCCAGGATTCAAACCCTGTTATTAAACAAAATGGAAGGTCGATTACAGCGGAAAGTAAAGAGGGACAAAGGTTAGAAAATTACAATCACCTACCTGAAAGAAGCATATCTGAGTTAAAAGCAAGCTGCCTAGCTTGTAAAAATTAAGTGCCCAAAGCTGAAGAATGTCAATTTTCTCTTGGTTAAAAAGGCTGCCTTTATGGTCTAGTCTCCAATTATATAATCATGGTTTCGGAGTCCATGCCTCATGCAGTTCACAGCCAAGTCGTGTTACAGGTAACCTCATAAAAGTTTAACAGTTTCTAACCTTAGTTAAGCACTTAAGTGCAATATCACTAACATCCCTTCAACATGTTAAGAATTTGGTTTTCCTGCATGTACCATACAAGTATTACTTCCCTAGGTCTCTTTTCCACTAATATGCAGCTTTGGAAATAATTTCCTTCTCATGCCAAATTCTTCATATTTTATATACCTGTATCTTTCTGACAGCTGCTTGTATTATTCCTGTTCTCTCTGATCACAGTTTGCTTCATTCTTCCCATCTACTGATTTTGCAATTAAAACTGTAAGAAACAAATCATGTTTATCTGATGTTTTTCATTTTTTTCCCTCATCCTAGATCCCTGAAATCCCTTCTGACATCCATTTTGAAAGTAATGTTTCCAAATAAAAGTGTATCCAAAACAGGAATATCATAAGATATTGATACTTCAGTGTATACTTAATATTCATCAGTAAATATTGTGGGAAAACCTAACTATATGATTTGGCAACTCTTCAGAAACCAAACCTAAAAATCTGGTTTCTCAATTCCTATTCAGGTGTCCATTAAAAGGATTTCTCTGAGCATTTTATTATTTCAAGAATGCAAGTGCGAAACACTTCAAATTGACGAGATTTTCAACTGTCCGCAGAACAGACAATGGAGATGTTTTTCATGTAAGGGAACTATTTTTAACTGTGAAATTGAACTAAAAGTTTGGACTTTAAAAGAAGATAATGTTAACTGAATTTTACTGACTTAACATACCCAAGTGAAGAACCAATGGAAAAAAACAACATTAATAACACTGAATGATTTTCAGCCATCTTGGCTGATTACACAAGTGTGCTATCTTCAAGGGGAAACAGAAAAAAGAATGTATTTTTCTGTAATTTGCAACACAATATTTAACAAAAAGAGGGAAAACACATCTTGCTTCAAGTGACAGGAAAAAACAGAGGGGTTTAAAGGTTTTTTTGTTGTTGGGGTTTTTTTGTTTGGTTGGTTTGGTTTTCAGTTGTTTTGTGGTTTGTGTTTTTGTTTTTTAATTCTCAATTCTCCATTTTTTACTGAGGACATGACTGCAGAAATCTGCACTCTAAAGAATATGCTTATCAGTGTGATCTCAGATGAGCACACTTTATTTTTTCCACACCTCCTGGGTTTGTGATGCTGCTGACCCGCACAGCTCTTTTTAAGTACTTTGAATTCAAAGGCAAAGAGCTTCATTTATCTATTAGAGTTAGGACTTTACAGTTTTCTAATGCATCCTGTTCCTTACCTTCCATGGCTATGGAAAGCATTTAAATAAGGGGCTCTGCACCCACACAGCAGAGGCTGCAAAGACCTCACAGGCAGAGAAGGAACAAACAAGTCTTTGTTTCTAGAAGAGGGGGATTTGAGGGAGGAGGAGGAGGAGGAGGAGGGGCAGACAAGTTAAAAAACACGGGCAATTTAAGACAATAAAAAAGATCTTGCCGTCCTCTAATATGGCTTAGATTCACAATCTGCAGAATACAGTCAATTGTAATAGCTGCAATATGCTTTTGAGAACAGAGAATTAGTGGCCTTCAAATGTTACACATTAAACGTTCTACTGTCCAAACTCAACAGCAAAATGCCTGTTCTGTACTGTAGGAGATAATACTTGACAGTTACTGAAAAAAGTTTAGACTGCTGTCTACATCCTTAACGAAAAGAAAAAGAGAAAAATAAAACAAAACAAAAACAAACCAAGTGAGAGAAACGATTACCAGTCATTGGTGCTAGAGAGAAAAGGCCAGCAGATTGTTAACAACTCAAACATAAAAGGCTAATTCTCTCCCCAGATCCTATGCCAATTTAAATCACACGTCCCAGGGCACGGACAGTTTTCAGTGACACAGTACCTTTCCCCTATGGAGAATTATGTGCAAAGATTGCTGTAGAGCAACCTTAATCATTAATAAGGCACAGCTGAATGGTTTTTTTTTGGTTTTGTATTTATCATTTCACCCTTCAAAACTAAAACAAATTTTAATCTTCAAATTTAAAGATGTTATTTTTTTGAACAAACAACAACAAAAAAGCTCAGGATCTGAGCATACTATAACTTACTGCTCTTAAGAGTAAGAATCAATGTTTTCATTAAGGGAACTGAAAAAAGAGTACTTGTC